GCTGCCGCGCTGGCCTGCTGCTGAGCCAGCTTCTCTCGGAACGCCTGCTGCCGGGTCTGGACCACGTCGGGCATCACCGCGTCGATCAGGGACAGGGACTCGATCGGCCTGCCGTCAAACACGGTACCGTCCTGCGGGGAGAACCAGCACAGGTGAGCTGCAAGGTTAGGACCTGCACCGCTCAGGTCAGCAAAGAGGTCACGGTGTGAAGGAGGGAAGGAACCAGGCTGTGTGGAGACATCGCTGCGCTCTGACTTCACCGACAGCGCCACGTCACTCTCAGATCTGTAGTGGTGGTGCTCACCTGTCTCTTAGAAATCTCTTTGGTGAGTAAGGAACTTACTGGAATTTTACAGAAAATTCAAGTGTATAAACTCCCTAGAGATGCAAAAAATTATGCTGTGGAAAAAAAGAAAAAGTCTGACTAATGACAGAAAGTTTCTTTTTGTTTTGTTTTTGGAAGGAAAAGAGTCATGGCCATAGCCATGACTTGGGTTAAATCACTGGCAAAATCACTGCCAAATAAACTTTGGTTGAATCATTTGTCTTCCTGCACTTGCAGGGGCACAGGAATGGAAGCAGCTGATGAATAATGGACCTCAGCCAAAACAAGATGTATGCACAGAGTCAGTGTTTTCTTACATGGCATTCATCAGCCCAGCACCACCAGTGGCAGCTGATTGTACAGGACTGCTTTACCATCATTTTTCTTTTATTATGCAAGTTTTATTTATAAAAGTTATGGCTTTCATTTTGATCTGCAAATTAGGCTTCAGGTTTAGCAGCCAATTGAGTTTACCTTTAAGGGCTGTTAAGACTTAATACTCAGGTCAACAACTGCTATATCTACTTAGCTTTGCTTCACTTTACTTTTCTGTTATCTTAAATATAGGATAAAGGTTTCAATAATAGCCTTCGCAAAGTGTCGTTTTACTGACCTTCTGCAAGCTCCCTTTAATTCTTTGAAATAATCAAGACCCAGCAGTGAAAGATTTGTGTTTGAGGAATAGCAGGTAAGATTAGGATACGGAGAGATGAAGTGGTTAGAAAACAATGTAATTTTCAATCGCTAACAATAATTAACAAAGAAAAATAGCCATTTGGATGACTGGTATGCTTCTGTTGGACTAGTCATTGAATTACTCCCTAAAATTACAGTATTAAGATAATACATACTTGTTTCCTCATGGGAAAGAAAAAGGAGGAAAGAGTCGTTAGAGAAGAAAAAGATAAGCGCTCTTTCTTCTCAACGTGCTTTATGTAAATGTCTCTACTGAGATTTATTTGAATCTTGGCTCAAATCCTTGCTACACAATGAAAAAATGTTTGCCAAGGGATTTTGGCATCTTACATTTTTAACTGTAAAACTGCTTACTGAACTATTTCTATGACCGCCCTTTAACAGATCACTAACAACACTTAAATTTTATACACATTACTTTACAGACTCATTGATTACTTGCTACTCTTAAGTAACACACATAGAGAAGCAGCACCTAGAGGAGCATATACATAGCCCTTCCTGGTGTTCAGACATAGCACAAATGGCCTTTGCTTCGCTGTAATGTACATTACAATATGTATTTAAACAGAAACAAACCACAATGAGCACAACATAAATTTTAATGCTGACAACACGGATATTTTTAGATTATTCTCTCAACCGAGGCCAATTCTGAAGCTGGATGCAGAGGAGCGGACCCCTACAGTTGTCATACAACCTGGGCATCAGCTGAGGTGCTGTTCATGGCTGAAATTTTTGACCATGTAGCTCAGATTTCAGGCACAGGACAAAAATGTTAAGCAGCAGCAAATTAGAGCAGATTCCTAACACTGGTTTGTTATTACAACTGCATCAAAGTGTGTCTTGGCATGAATGTCAAATGCCATCGCCCCAATTAAAAAAGAACACATACACAACTCTTAAGCACAGTATCGAGTCATACAAAGAAAACCACACAGAATGTTAGTGATAAAAACAAATGAGTTTCCAAACTACACACTGCAAACAATACGATCTTTTCTCTATTTTGCATTCCTTTGTTCTCATCCATGCTGCTCACATGCTAGATTCAGCTAGAAAGGAAAATGCAATAGCTTTTTATGTACTAATATTTATTGCAGATCTCTGCCAATTACAAATATCTATGGTAAATATTTTGTAATGCAGTACTTGCTTATCTGTCATGCTTCACTCCCTCTTGAAGCATCACGCCTTTAGGGTTGGCAGAGCAAAACTGCTGCCTTTGCTCACATCCTCCTCTTTGTCTCCCCTGGCAGTTCAAGGAGCACAGAGGCACTTTGTGGCTGCTCACACAATCCCCAGAAAACCAGTGCCCCAGCCAGGGTCAGTATTTGCACACAACTGTTTTGCCACGTACACGAGAAGACGATGCCTGGTCTTATGTGACCTGAGCCAAAGTCACTGAAATCAGGCAGAATCTCTCTGGTGACCACCCTGGATTTTTGATTGGGCTGCTCATGGCTTGCAGGCAGTGCTGCCTGCTAGCAATTGTCAGGGAGTGAAGTTTTAACCTACACTGCAGGCTTTGCCTGCCAAATTCTGCTGTGACCTTCAAAACACAAGACTGAAACACAGACGCGTTTTCTTGTTTGCTGCAAGATTCTGTGCAGCCTGGATTTGTTGACTGAGGTAGTGGAAGCACCATAAAATCCACTTAAAGAGTGCAAAGAAGGCCTCAACGCCACAGCTAAAAACTGCAAAAGCTCTCTGTGGGGGGTGGGGCCACGTATGAGGAACAACATGAAACCAGACCATGAGAAGCTGTGGAGGGGTGGCTCGTGTCTCTGGGCTGGTAGGACATGTGGCTTGACAAGCCCCGGCGTGCGGGTCAGGGGTGGAGGGGTGCCGGGGGTACTTACTTCGTTGATGCTGATCTCAGCCTCCACATACTGGAGCCCCTTCTGGAGGATGGAGATGAGGGCGGCAGGTGGCACTAGTGTTCCGTTGATGTTGGACTGGCTGATGTGGCTCTCGATACCGAAGGTGAAGGCCGAGTGGGAGAAACCTGAGAGCAGGAAAAGGAAGCCATGACATGAAATCTAAATGCACCAGCCAGCTACACCTTCACGGTCTAAAAATAATTCTGATCTGAGAGATGCTGCCGTGTAAGCAGAAGGTCGCGGGCTGGCTGCACGGAGCCAGGGAGGTTACCCAGAGCCACTCTGAACACCCATCCCCCTCCCCTGCATGCTGCACATACAGGGGAAGCCATACAGAAATGGGAATGCACGCAGGGAAATATAACCAGAGACCTGCACCAACGGAAAATGAACACATGAGGAGTGGGAATCACCTCAAGGGCAAACCCAGCTGCAGAAAGTGCCTCCAACCTTCATTTCCCTCGCCGCGTTCCAGTGTTGATGTCTGCTGAAGCTGAATCCCTATCAGCTTAAATCTCTATCAGCGTGCAAGTTGTATAAAACCAAGACATAGATGCAGCTGACACAGGGGAACCATTCCCTTAGACCAGGGAAGAGATTTCAAATGCTCTGCTCATTTACTGCTGAGCATAATATGACGTGCGGAGCACCGCCGTTCAAATGTGAAACAACCAAAGGCCACTCCTGCAAACCTTTTTTCTGAAAGTGATCAGCAATAGCAGAAGTAATTAATTGGGATCTGCCAAGCAGCCCGTCCTTTAACCAGAAGTCTTTCTTTCATTTTCAGCATTGTCTGAGAAATAAGGTGACAGCACTGAAAAATAAAGAATTTTGGTGGACAAAATTTAACGAGCGGTGCCTTAACCGCTGGCCAAAGCAGCTCAGAACTGTTGCTGGGTGTGAGGGCGAGAGCTGCGAAGCGACCTACGTAGGGGCAGATGCGGGGGGGGCAGGGGGAACAAGATGCAGATATAACTGTAGGAACCCACTTATCACCACACTGTCTCCAGAGCATTAATCTAACATTAAAAGCCTTGGGGAAACCCCCCATGCGCTGTCTCAAACAGGAAGAGCTCTCAGAATCTCCACCGACTAGGCAAGAAAGAAGAAAAAACTGAAACGAAGAAAAAAAAAGAAGAAAAAGACAGCAGCTCTCGAACGAAAATCCTTCCGTTAAATATAGCTGTGCCTCTTCCCCTTGTCAACAGCAGTTTCATTTATAGCTCTGTCCGTTAAGGGATTTCCCCCATATCACTGCAATGTCCAATTGTGTGTGGGCTGGAGGACAGGATTTTGGGCTCGCTCCACAGTAATCCTTGCTCTCTCTCTACCAGTCAAATTGTTTTCAAAATCTTTTTTTTTTTTGCAGCTAGCTCAATTACAAACATAGACAGATAGCAAAAACAAGCTGAGATACAGAATGCCTCCCACATTTGAAACCGAGGTATGTTATTTCTCTGTGATTCTCTCCTCCTACACATTTTATTTTGCCAATGTTTTTCTCCTCCTCCTGATAACAGCCTCTACCCTCTCCCTCCCTGACTCATATCTTCCTCTCCTGGCACTCTTACAGTTTTGGGGGATGCTTGGATGCTTTGGACATTTTTTAGGAAGTGGCAGGTCCACCTATGAGCAGAATTATGTAGGTATTACAAGGCATAAAAATAAAGCACAGGAATAAACACCTGAAAACCTACAGCATCATTTATCTAATCCCTGCTCCAGTTCTTACCCTGTACTGCTCTTTATGTCCTGGTCCAGCTTATGAGCTGCTGGACCTCCCGCTACATCCAAAACAGGCTGTAAGATCTGCAGGGCTGTGTCCTTGTTATTAGTTTTGTAGGATATCTAAGCCCGTTATTTGGCACCACAATAAGGAAGAAATCAAGTACTGAACACACACAGCCTGTGTCTGAGATCTAGGGCTTGGTCACTGAACACCAAAATCTCTATGTATATAAAAATGTGTGGCATGCAACTAACCAGAATTAGAGAATCAAATCCCACTTAACTTACATATGTGTATTTAAATTAATCATCAACAACAGTAACAATACCTTCTTGAAAAGGAATGGACTTTAATATGCATGACGGATAAATCAGCAAATCTGCTTAAGAATGGAGAAGAATAGGAAAATTAAGCTGTTGTGCAGAAGCCGTGAAGTTGACTGCTCAGAAAGCCAGCAGCTAGCTTGTGAGTTGGCTGCTCAGGAAACCGTAACATGCTCTGATTCAATCCAAAGGTGGATGGCATAAAAATAGCAAGCAACAAACACTGATGGAAAATGTAAAAAAGCAGAAAATCGTTGCTGTGGATCTACAGCAGGCTTAATTTTAGCTATGACTTTGTGCCTCTCATTATGGCGTTTGGTATCTGCCAGACTTTTTAGCTGGCTCCTGGCATACACCAAGCCCCATCTTTGGCAGCAGACAGACGACTGTGGCACACAGCTAGCCTCTCTGTGCAGTACCGAGTTGCCATAACCCCAGAGAGCAAAGCATCTCATCCCAATGGGTGTGAGAGAAGACACTTCTCAGCATGAAACCCAGTTGTGTCATTGCAAGGACACCTGTTATTTTACTGCTTCTCTTGATGCTAAGAAACTATTACCAAGGCACCTGTTAGGTGAGGCAACACAAACCTCCTGGCTACACTGTCAGTGAAGAGCGATTTCTCTCACAGATCATTAGCAGTTGTGACAAAGTTTCCTAAAATCTTACCTGATAAGTTCTAAATGTGGAAAATCAACTTAGCAAAACTGCTTAAGTGGGTGCTGCTGGACACTGTGCTCCTCACCCCTCTTGGGAAAATCCTCCCACACAATTGTAATTGAAAGAAAAACAAACCTAACAGTAACAAGCCAGCCACCCCACTGACCAACAGCTCATTACCTCCTGACCTCTTGTACTACTGTAGCATTTATATGAGGCCCATATGAAAGTTGACTGGTTTTCAAAGACCTACAATTAGCAAAATCCTGAATGAAGCTGTATCCATGTCACGTTTCTGATAACACTGAAGAATCACTTGAGCTTTGCTTTTATAGTTACCACATGCCATCAATTTTCTTTGGGGCTCTATGTATGAGTACACTGAATTACATTGCCACGTTGCAGCTCTAGAGATCAGTCTTACAAAAAGGTGATTTCTGTTAAACAAAGGCAAGTAGGTTTTTTACAAATGTTAGCTTGTGTTGCAAATGCTAACTTGGCCCTTCTTCTAAGTTCATGAAACCACACTGGGGAATGCAAAGCCAAGACACGAGCACCCCCTGCCCTCCTCCAGTGACTGTGGAGGCAGCCAAGGCAGCTGGGGAGTGAGAGCAGAGATGGGAGGTGCTCTGCAAGTGGGGATCTGAAGAAAGGATGCAGTAGGGATGACATGAAATGACAACAGATGGAAACTCAAAATGCTACGGTTGCAGTGAAATGAATGAAAGTTGCAAATCTGTGTCCATATGCATTATATCTCATAAATTCTGTCATTTTGGTGATCACAGTAATCACTCTATAAAACAGTGATTTCTATTCAAATAGCAGCAATAAATGAAATCTTAATGCCATAAACCCTTTGATGACACACACAATGAGACCGTGAGCTTTTATGGTTAAAGACATGAACACAAAAGCCCAAAGGTGAGAGAGCATGGCCACACACCAAACTGGTTTTGTACCAGTGAAGCGGTCACTTGGGCCATGACATGACCCGTGCTCTAAACAGTGTCTTTCAGCAGCCTTGAGAGAATGTCTTCCAGCTTTTTTATGCCTCAAAATAATGTAGATACATTATCATACATAAAAAAACAAAAAAACAAAAAAACCCACAAATGAACAAGACATAATCTTGGTATAATCCCCTTAGAGGGAGGTAACCTATGACTGTGGAATAGTTGGTCTTCAAAGATTTTAGAGCATAAATAAAAGAACAGAGGAAAAAAAGAATGCAGAAAAAATTAATTAAATTATACACCCCTAAGCCCAAAAATTGTTATATAAGTGTTTTTGACTTGAAATTCCTTACTGAGAGACTCCTGCATGTTTTTGTACTGAGAGTGGTAACAGGGCCTGGTTCTGTGCTGCCTCTTTCCCCACAGTGAGGTGCCTGTGTATACTCTCATCGGTACATACACAGCCATTTGGGAATTCTTGCCCTAGGCAGTGCCAAAAAATGCATATGTAGGGCTGTGTTTTGCAAAATTTCACTGATAGATTTTGCAGTAACTGCAAAATAGAGACAATTGAGTTGTTTTTTTTGTTTTTTTTTTGTTTTTTTTTGCCTTGGCTGCTCCTTTTTCAGTTAAAAATGGCCTCTCCTGACTTAAAACAAGATTTGTCACTGATCACAAAATGACTAGGTTTTACTTCATGAACATCATGCTGCTCTTTGTGTGCCTGTTTCATCTGCAGGCTCCACAGTTTTAATTGTTTGCAATATGCCTGGATCACAACAGAAGTGCCTGTCAAAGGCAGGTGTAGGAAAGGGCACTGGGCAGCCTTGCAGCCCGGGGAATGCCTTCTCTCCTCCAGGGATGTGTCTCACCTCCTCTAGGAGTGGAGGATTATTCCCTTTAGGCACGTAACCGGGGTGCTGCCGAGTACTCCCCGCGCTAGTTCAGCTGGCAATCACAGATCCAGATAACTGACATTCCCTAAGTGCTCCTTTCATTTTCCCATCCCTTCAGCCCTGTCAAAAGCAGTCTTGTTTAAACTGTAATTTTAAGTTGTAACAGCTACAGCACCTACTGCTGCATTTGTAAAGATGAGGGGAATGACAAAGAGGGGCCTGTGGAAACTGTGATTTCTGAAGTGATTCATCCTTTGCCTATTGCTCAGGAGCTACCTCAGGGATGACCTGGTTAGCAAGCTAGGTGATCTGTTGAACACTGCAAAGTTTTACTTCTGATTGAACTGGACTTCGTTTTCTCTGGTAGTTCTAACTTGTACACTGTTCTAATAATGTTTTAAAAAACAGATGTGTCCAAGTTATTCGCAAATTACACAGTTTAATTATTCATATTATAAGATTCTTTACTGAAACATTTGTTGCTGTAGAATGAAACAGAATAAAGAATTAGGAACAACAATTTGCCTTTCTCACACATCTCAGCCATCTTTATGATGAATG